TTTTTTTTTTGTTTTTTTGTTTTTTTTTTTTTTTTGGTTCGCGTTCGGCCCAAACGACCGAACGCCTTCCAAAGGGGTCCCGTACGTTCGGGCGTTCGGGTTCGGGCGCTCGGCCCGTCCCGAACACCGGCAACCCTGTATATATATACAAGGTAACCGGCGTTCAGGATGGGCCGAACGCCTGAACCCGAATGCCCGAAAGTATGGGACCCCTTGGGGATACGTTCGGCCATTCGGGCCGAACGTGGAAAAAAAAAAAAAAAAAAAAAAAAAAAATCATGAAAAAAATCTGAAAAAATGATAGGTTATGGAGAAAACTAAATTAAACAAGATTTGCTTGATCATTACATCCGAATTCCTTACCAAATTTGAAATAAAAATAAAATACGAAAAACAAATACTAATAATAAAAATAAATAAAAATAGAAAGAGAATTAAATTTAGTGAATGCGCGAGCATGTTTTCGACACCGCCATCTTTGGCGATTTTTTTTTTTTTTTTTGGCATAGCTAAATGCCCTGAAAATTTACAGATGTGTACTTTACATAACACAAAACCCACTTAAAAAGTTAAAAAAAAATAATAAAATTGTTTAGACCCCGAACTAAAGTGAAAACAAAAGGTAAAAAGTAAAAAAATGTGTGGGCGAGCACGTTTTGACATCGCCATCTTTGGCGATTTTTAATTCTTATTTGGATTAGCCAAATGACTCGAAAATTCACAGGCATGTACCTCACGTCATAAAGAACTCACAAAAAAAATGCAGAAAACAATAATTATGTTTAGGCCCTGAAATAATTTTTGGCGGGGGCCGAACGTCGTCGGGTTCGGACCCCGTACGGGATCCCGAACGCCCGTACGTACGGAGGTCTGACCAGGAACCTCCGTATGTACGGGCTGGTGACCCTCTCTCTCTCTCTTTATATATATATATGTCCTCTTCTCTCTCTCTGCCTACGGTTTACCGGGCAGTTCTGTTTGTGACGATATATATATATTGGTTTTTGATTTTTGACTTATGATTGGCTACGAATTTGAACATGACTCCAAGGCAAACGTTGCTTGTATTAATATTTTACATAACATATATTTTTTCATTTTTTTATGAAGGGTCTTAGGCGCTTGTTCGAGTTAGGACGAACATGTTCGCACTCGCCTCCGAACGGGAACACGGTGTACGCAGGACGACGGGATGTATCCATGTGGAACTCTGGTATGGAAGAGAGACCGATTTCCCCTTGGAAGCCTTGATACCCACCTGGAACATATTAGACGATAAACACATGACCACGGAAGAGCTAATTGAAGCACGATGTCAACAGGTCCTTAGGAACGAGGAAGCCATGAAGGATATTGTCAATCGGGTACTGGATAGCAGGATGAGGGATAAAGCAAGATGGGACAAGGTCAAGAATATCTGGAAAGAGTCACTTCAGGTGGGGAAAATGGTAATGGTTAGAAACCCGACACTAGAAAGCATATGGTCTGGGCAATTGAGGAGGAGGTTCAAAGACCCCTACCGGATTAAGCGCGTGGGGTTGAACACCTTCGAATCGGAAGATTTGGATGAAAATGGATAAAGAGGACCCTTCCTAGAGCAACGCTTGGTCAGGTTTCCAAGTCGGGATCCAGTGGAACAATGGCTGCAAGAGGCCCAGGATAAAGAAACGGGGGACCCGACAGATTGAGGAGTGGCGACCGTCTTATTTGTATTATGTTTTGTCCTTATTTTGAAAATGACTACAACTGTGGGATTTCTTTTTTTTGCAGAGAGGGTAACTCCTGGGCTGATTGACAACGTGGGGTGCCTTGGAACCTTATTGCCATGGGTTTTCTGTGTAAGTAAGGGCTGGATGGTATCGGGAAAGGCTGCCTGAGGCATTGTACCATAGTTTTTGTAGAGATATGATGGGGTCATTACAACTGCGACATCTGTATGGAGGGGCAATATATAATATGACTTTGTATGGAGGGTTCGGCGGGTGTTGTTTTGTTATGGATAATAGGATCAGGGAAAAAAACTTAAAAGCGAGAATGGAATTCGGTAACGAAAATGACAACAATGTGATCAATTGGCCTAGCAAGAGGGAAGGAGCGGGACCAAATGGGGAGCAGAAGATTGTAAAGAGGAAACTGTACGTAGGGTACCTGTCCAAACAAATACTGGCAGAGGAGCAAGAAAATGTATGTGTAGAGGACCCTCACTTATCAAGAAGGGAGAAGGAATATATATCTCACCAGGAGTGAGAGTGAGGAAGAAAGAACGAGTGTGGGAGAAAGGGGTGGATTGAGAGAAGATAGGGCTCACACCTTTGCCGAGAAGAAGACCGAGGGGTGCAAACCGCATCAACAATGGTACAAGGAGGACGAAGAAAGGCAAGGTATGAGTAACGGTGGCGAAAAAGGGGGAGAAGAAAGAGAGAGTCTGCATGACGAACAAAGCGGTCATGACAGTTGTGAGAGGGGATACGCGAAGTTTGGGGAAGAATGCGAAAAGAGGGTGAATATTCCCTGTAACTTGGACCCTGAAAATCTTACGGGTGAGTTCAGCCCCGTATAGAGGGAAAAGGATGAGGACGAGGTGCAGGAGGTCATTGAGATTAGCAGTCGTGATGAAACGGATGAAATCTCAAGGCCTAAAGAAGAAGGGCGACCCACAGCAAGCAGGTCACAAGAAGGATCCTTCAGATGAGAAGTTGAGTTTGGACCTACACCCAGTCATTGGTTTGAGCAATGGATACGCGTGATCAAACACGACTGAATCATCAAGGCCAGGGAACTGATAGAGGTCGGAGTGGCAGCTACGCCTTTGGACTTTTACAATGAAAAGAAGTTGCAAAAAGTTGCGAAAAGAAAGAAGTAAATCCTGGTCTCCGGCCTGGGAGTTAAGGGGTTAACGAAAGGAAGGGATGAAGGGGGAACCAAGCAGTGTAGGACAGACAACAACGAGAGAAACTAGACGCTATGAGCGTTGAACAAAAGTTTTGTTTTTTTGCAATATTGAAGTGACAAAGTTTGGATGGCAAATTTTGGATAATAGGAATGAGCGGTACAAGGACGAACCAGAACTATGTCTCCATGAGTTAGAAAACAGTATTTAAGTTACTTCCTGAATGAACTACCTTCGAAAAATTATATGCAAAACAATGACAAGGGGTACGGGGACGAGACTGGTTGGGATGATTGTATTGTTAGCCTGAACAAAGATTGCACCTTTGAAAAATGACTATGAATTTGGATTGACGAGCAAAGCAAGGCGTTGAGTGTCGGTCGAGAACAAGAGAGGTTAGGGGACCTATGGGTAAAGAGGCGTGAGAACCCCTCTCCCCTAGGAGAATAATCCAATGGAGTCGTGAATGAGCCAAAAGTAGCAGGAAGCCTGAGAGGTCAGAAAGAATGAAAACAGAAAGGATGTCCCTACCCTTCGCTATGGTTGAACGACCGGGTGGGCTAACTGGAGCTTGAGGTTGCAAGCCTTATCTCGAGCACTAGACGCTAAGCCGGATGTATGCATGAGGAACAACAAATGGTATAGAGAAAGGATGAGAGATATCGCGCGCAGAAAACTATAAAAGATGGTCACCTTCTAACCCCTAAGACAAAGATGGGATCCGTGTCCTCGAGGCCCACCCCCTCTGGCGCTAAGATTGAAATGGATAAGGACGACCCTAACAAGGTCGTTCAATTGAAATGAATAAGAACGACCCTAACAAGCCCGTTCGACTGGAATGGATAAGAACGGCCCTGACAAGGTCGTTCGGTTGAGAAGGAAAAGAATGATCCTGATAAGGTTGTTCGACCGGAACAAAATGACTCCTGATAAGGGTCATTTAGAAATAGTTACTAGGGTCCTCTTGCATGATTACTTGAGAAAGGTTCAGCTTGAAGGATCTGGAGTTTGCATTGCGGAATTGCTTGAGAATTGGAAATTGCATTGCATATTAGGGGGCTCTAGGCGGATTGGAAAAGACATGGAAATGACATTGAAAGAGTTTTCATTTTTATCTAGTCTCAGACCTTAGCAGAAACTTAGCAGAAGGGGGATACCGGTTCCCTCACCGCGACCCCAGGACCTCTACCCTTCAAGGGAAAGTCTCAGCGCGACCTGTTCCTCATAAAAAGGATAAGGGTTAAAGGACTAAGGCATCTCTCTCTTCTCTAGTCGGGGAGTTCAAACTGCGCCTTATGTTGGGAACCTAAACGTCAAAGGGTGAGGAACCAAATGGATGAAGTACCATTTGTTTGTTAATCTCATTTGCTCTCCCGAACCACATGTTATATCGTAGAGGGACGGTGTAGTCACTTGGGATAGACCAAGGCTGCTTGCATTAAGTTGAGCGACACTGTGCAAAGGTAGGGGCCAGGCGATGCATCGGGTGAAGTCCGCACCCACCACAGGGCATTGACACTGCCCCGTCGGATCATTACTAACTGCGAGGTCTTCGTAACTGCACTCGCAGACTAATAGAGAGTCCCAACTCTCTTGAAAGGAAGAGGTCGGATCCAAGAAAATACCACTCGGGAGGAACGATTCGCGGGGGATGTCCTTACGACAAGACGGGGTCCTGGGAGGCTTGAACTGGACCTACCTGCCAGAAGTGAGGTGGTACCTCAACAATTATATCCGTCTCGTTATAGCAAAAGGTCGGACTAAGTAGAAGGATGAGGTGTTGTCTATCGAGGAGGGACAGATCACCCTTCCTTCTAGGAGCAGGTGGGCTCGCGTTCTTGACTCAGTTGGTGGGTCAAGGTTCCGTACCTCCGAGTGAGAACTAGTCCTGCGATGGGGATATCGTATTTTTAGTGGGGGAAAGGCGTGCCATCTACCGATGAAAAAGCGTGCAGTAAAAAGAACAATGGTCAAAAGGATAAGGTTACCATGAGTTCGAGAGAAGTGCATGTAAAATTAATTGAGCTTGGGCTTGAGAAAGGTCTGGCAAGATGTCCAAAAGAAAAATGCATATAGAATTGATTGAGCTTGGACTTGAGAAAGACCTGGCAAGATGTCCAAAAGAGAAATGCATGTGAAATTGATTGAGCTTGGGCTTGAGAAAGGTCTGGCAAGAAGTCTAGAATAAAAAATGTATATAAAATTGATTGAGCTTGGACTTGAGAAAGGTCTGGCAAGATGTCCAGAAGAGAAATGCATGTAAAATTGATTGAGTTTGGGTTTGAGAAAGGCCTGGCAAGAAGTCCAGAAGAACAAATATATGTAAAATCGATTGAGCTTGGGCTTGAGAAAGGTCTGGCAAGATGTCAGGAAGAAAAATGCATGTAAAATTGATTGAGTTTGGGCTTGAGAAAGGTCTGGCAAGACGTCCAAAAGAAAGATGCATGTGAAATTGATTGAGCTTGGGCTTGAGAAAGGTCTAGCAAGGAAAAAATGCATGTGAAATGGATAGAGCTAGGACTTGAGAAAGACCATGCAAAATGTCCAGAAAGAAATACGTGTAAAATTGGTTGAGCATGAGATCGAGAAAAGGGTGGGAAGAAGCATGGATTGCACGGACCAGAGAGCCGCGCTGAGGGTGACAGATGTCGGAAAGGGGACATGGTCGAAAAACGACAGACAGATCATTCGAGGACATTACGGATGGCAAGGCTCGGGAGAGAAGTATGGGCTGCAGGAGACGAGAGACGAAAGGCCTGATGTACTACGGGTGATGAATGAGACGAAAGACCTTATGTACTGCGGGTGATGAATGGGACGAAAAATTGATGTACTATGGGTGACGAATAAGGCGAAAGGCCTGATGTACTACCGATGATGAATGAGACGAAAGAAGCCTGAAGAAGCATCTAAAAGAGAACTCGACCCCCCACACACCCCTCCCCACCCCAAGGAGCAGAGACTAGAAGAGACCCCGAGAAAGGAACAAGAAAAGACAAAAAAAAACCTAACAAACGAACTACCTATTACATTCCACCGCTCATCCTCCATTTATCCGTCCAAATTCTCCTACTGACAAAAGACTGGTGCGCAATGAGCACATTGCGAATGAGTAGGGGGAATGTGTCCGGACTTGTGGGTCCAGAATAACGTTTCGGCACTTGAGAGCCTGTATATAGCTAAGTTGTGCATGACCGAGAAATCCAGAGAAGGGAGAGAATAGAGAGAGAAAAGACAACGGACTAGGACGGGACTGCAGGAAGGAATGATGCCTTGGGCTAAATACCGCAGGGTGAAGGACCCGACAATGACAAGCAAGTAACAGGACAGGGGCGCACAGGGGCATAGGATGGGGCCAGGAGGGTCATTCGAATTCGGCTTGGCAAGAACCCGAGGGGCCATGAATTGAGCAAGCAGAGCGCGACAGATGACAAAAGAATACTGAAGCCGAAAGATCGACGACCCTGGCGACCGCGGGACGCTAGAAAGTAAGGGCCACAACGGGGTGCCAAGACCATTCGGGAAGGGGGCCTTGACGACCGGAAAGCACTAGAGAAAGAAGGGACAAGGTGTCGGGAACCACCGACGGGACTAAGTGTCGAGGGTCACCGACATGACAAAGTGTTGGGGACCACCGACGGGATAAAGTGTCGGGGGCTCCTGATGGGACAAAGTGTCGGGGACCACCGATGGGACAAAGTGTCGAGGGCCACCGACGGGACAAGTGTTGAGGACCACTGACGGAACAAAGTGTCGGGGGCCATCGATGGGACAAAGTGTCGGGGACCACCGACGGGACAAAGTGTCGGGGACCATTGCCAGGACAAAGAGAAGGGGACCACCGACGGGACAAAGAGAAGGGGACCATCGACGGGACAAAGAGAAGGGGACCACCGACGAGACAAAGTGTCGGAGACTACCTGGCGGAACAAGTACCAAGGACTAGCACGGGACAAGTGACGGGGACATGAGAAGGTCTCAAGAAGGATTGAGGAGCAACATGAGGGAAAATAATTGAAACAAGGTGTACCGTCAAGATCGAGATCTTGACGGCCAAGAATATTAGCACCACTAGTGCAAGCACTAGTGGAAACAAACGGGAAGACCAAAAGAAGAAAAAAAAAGTACAAAAACAAGGAGCAGGAGACATGGGAGCAATCCGAAAATTCTCAGATTGGCCCCCTTCAAGAAAATGGAGTTAAAAGAGACTCCATGTGAAAATAGGCTGCCGGGAGAAAATCGGAATATGAGGGGTCACAGTGTGAGAGAAATAGAGGTAAAAGAAGGCTCCCATGGGCATGAGGGAGCCATAGTTGCAGTTCGAGATATAACGGACTGCACCATGGGCATAGAGAGGGTCAAAACTAAGAGGAAGGACCTAGAAAAGGCCTTAACGGGTACTTGACACTTGACATGCTAGAAAAAGAAAAAAAAAGAAAAGAAAAAGGTGAGAGAATAAGACAAGAGGAATAGGAGGGAGTGAGTGAGTTGGCCGTCAGTAGGGACTACCACAAGTAGGGACTGGCAGGTCCCTACTGTGTAGAAAAGGAGGAAAAAGAAAAGAAAAGAAAAGAGAAAAGAAAAGAAAAAAGAAAAAGACCTTAACGGTAAAAAATGGTCACTTGGGGAGATACATCCCTGAGCGGATACATTCTGGAATATGGCGGTTGCAAATGACTTTGATATTCTCTTGATCTTGCTGAGAAAATCAAGAAAAATCAAGGCCCCCTGCAAACGAGATACAACGGATTGCATGGGGAAGAGAAACAGATGTTTTAGGTGCATCTGAAGTTAATATTGAGCCCAGATGCACTTGAAAATTGAGCACTTCATTTTCTTTCAACTTGGGGCAAGTTGTGGGGCTGTGGGACTAGGGAAAAGGCCACAGTTGCAGTCCGAGAAATAACGGACTGCATAAGGATGCTTCGCTATGGTGGATGGGTGAAGAAGATGGAGGAGGGAGATGGTGCGAGGTGGTTGGCTATGGTGGGTGGGTGAAGAAGATGGAGGAAGAAGATGGCGTGAGGTGGGTGGCTATGGTGGATGGGTGAAGAAGATGGAGGAGAGAGATGGTGCGAGGTGGTCGGCTGTTGCATGCTGCACCTGCACACGGGCCCCATTTGAGGGGCCTGACGGTTGTTGAGGGGCCCCCGGGCCGCATACCATCCAGCACGCACCCTGGAAGTATGCGACGGACATCTAGCACGCTCCCTAGGCAGCACGCTAGATAGATAGGCTGTAGTTTTACTTACCGTTTTTTTGGCGTGTGTGCTGTTTTATTTTGTCTGTTCAGGTGCCATTTCGGACTTGCAACCCCAAAGCATAACCTTGGGACTGGGTACACCGGAGGCAGGCCCAAAACGAGGCCAGGCGCATTTTGGCGCCAAACCTACCGGCGTCGTTTCGGTCTCGCAGGACCCAACACAACACCTTGGGCCAGGTGCACCGGTAGAAGGCCGTTTTTAGGCCAGACGCATTTCTTCGCCATGCTGCAGCAGCAACAAAGGTTTGGACGTCTTGTACGGACCCAGACCACCTGGGCCGTTTTAGGCCACACAACACCAGGTAGGCCCAACCGCCCAGCGCTACAAATAGTTGGACAGCGGTTGGGCCCAGGAAAGTTCGAGTAGATCACTTCTGAGCGACATGTTGTTGGTTGGAGGCTGCGCCATGTTGCGCTGGGTAGCGGAGTAGGGAGTAGAGGTTAGAGGAGATAGGGAGTGGCGGAGGCCATACCTGCAGTCGGCGAGCTTACCTGGCGCCATAGCTGGGCTCCACGCGGTACCTGCACACAGAAACGGACGAAGTCAATTCAGTGACAGCTACCTGCAAGTGAGATAGCGAGGAGGGTTTCATCTTCCTCTCTCCCTCCTCCATCCATCTCTCTCTCTCTCTCTCTCTGTCTCTCTCTCTTCTCCGTCCTTCCTCCTCTTTCTCATCTTCTTTTTCTTTGAATTTGAGAGTGTGAGAGGTTATCAGTAGGGATTCAGGCTGGGGTTATAACGGGCACATTGCCCAGAATCATATTCGACATCTATGGGCCAGACATTGTTTGGAAATTCGGCAAGAGAGTATTCTGGACTTCGCCATTGCGATCTTGGTCTACTCTCTCGCCTCCTCCCTCCTTCGTTTGTCTCTCTCCCCCATCTCTCATCCGTGGTTTCTCCCCATGTGTGTGTACGAAGGAGGAACCTTTCTTCCATGATTGCGGTCCCTCCTCTCGCTCTCATGTGCGATGTGGGATGGATGTCAGCTCAGTTCATATTCGATCAGATATTCTCTTTAAACCTTCCGCTATGCCATTTTGTGCCATCTGTATGTATTCGGAATGTACATTGCTTGTTGATGCTACGTTGACCTTGCATTGCCCATTTCAGTCCTTTTCATCACATAGCGGATCCTTGGCTCCCTGCGCATTGTCCCACTGGACATGCGTCAGTTTGGTATCGGAGCTACGCGTGTGAAT